GTCTTTCTTAGCATGTAATTGCCACAGTCACTCGGACTCGTGTCACTTTGATGCAGCTCGTTACGAAGCGACTGGAGGTGTGAGCGGCGGTGTGTGTGATGACTGCGGCAACAACAGGATGGGGCCTCAGTGTGAACAGTGTCAACCTTTTTTGTATCAGGATCCGCAGAGAGTGAAGGATGACCCACAAGCCTGCATACGTAAGCTTTTATTATTATTTAACTTTTTGAATATTCATGCTCTCACTGTTCCTGTAGAAATGAGTCTCACCTTTTTCTGTTTCTATTATTTTCTTTCATTGCTGAAGTGGTGCGGCTGGATGTTTGTCAGAATGCAGCTCTTTATGGGATATTTTCTATGTTAACAGTAATGTCTGAATGTCAAACCCAGTGCTTTATGACTTTTACCAACATGGTGCAGTAACAGTCTCCATTAACTCAGTGAAAGCTGATAGTAAAATATGTTTATGGTACAGGTATTCAGATATTCGTTAAGTTGCTTGAAGACATTTCACCTCTCATCCGAGAAGCTTCTTCAATTCTAGGTGGAGAATCCCAGAGTTCAACCATTTGACCTTAGAACTGAAGAAGCTTCTCAGATGAGAGGTGAAACATCTTCAAGCAACTTAAAGAAGTCCAGACGCTTTTCTTTCCAAGATCCTTAGACTACGATGACCTGGATGACTGAGAACCTTCACAGACAGTTGTTCTGGTAATTAAATCTCAGCAAGTTTGTGGCTGATGGAGTCGTGCTTGGTCCATGAATTTGACTTGGTCCATAAGCTGTTTTCTCATCAAATGGGCTCCTCACCACAGCCCATAATGACCCTTAGGCCAGTGTCTCAGTGGACCGATGAGTCCACTCCTGGCTCCAGTATAGCACTACATTTCTGATCAAGATGGCAGTAGATTTGGGTGTAGTGTTTTTTTCAGTTTATCACAGCTATGGTATCATGCATAACTTTTGTCGCAAACAGAATGTGTGTAATTGCCAATTTCAATCACAGTAGTAGCAGACTGTCTATCTGTAGTTGATGGCACAATAACGAGAGCACTGTTTATGTTGATATGACTGTAGCCTCAGGAGGAGGGTGATTACCCAACACAGATCAGCCCCTTGTTGCTCAGGGAAGCTGTCTCATAACAAGATGATGATTATTGTATGGTCTTTAATTTATAATGTTGTTTTGATCTGGTCCTTTAGAAATAAATCTGCATTGAGTGAAATGACGTAACAGCTTTGGGATGATGATGTCATACCATGTAATGGTGATGTGTTTCAGCATGTAACTGCGATCCAGCTGGTTCACGTGGCGGCGGTCAGTGTGACGCTCTGAGCGGTCAGTGCGTATGCAAAGAAAATGTGGAGGGTCAACGTTGTGATCGCTGCAAACATGGCTTCTTCAGCCTGAGGCAGGATGACCCCACGGGTTGTCAGGGTGACCAAATAACTTTATTTGTCCTGTTGTCATTCTCAACAAAGGAGCTCCTGCTTGTGTGTATATGATGATTTCAACGAGCTGAAGGTATGAGCGTGACAGAAACTTTCAGGCTGACTGTGTGTGTGTGTGTTTCAGCGTGCAGGTGTCATCCTTTGGGGAGTGTTGGGTCATGTGATCAGCAAACAGGAACTTGTGAATGTGACCCAATGGCAAGTGGACCGCTGTGTGATCGGTGTCTGGTAGGCCACATCTGTAAAATAAGTAATTTACTCTTTAGCTTCCTTTCATCCTCATTAAATTTAATTGATAATAGAGCTGGGAAATAATTCAAACAAATAATAATCCCAACCTAAGGAATATAATGTACACAGATAGGTAATGCCAGGATTCAAGTGCCTGTGTCCTGCCTGCTTTAGATGTGCCCTTGATCCAACACAGCTGATTTAAATGGCTAAATGACTTCTTCAGCATGTCTTGAAGTTCTCCAGAGGCCTGGTAATGAACTCATCATTTGATTCAGGTGTGTTGACCAGGATGAGATCTAAAACCTGCAGGACATTGTCACTTGAGGCCTGGCGTTGCCTACCCCTGTACACTGTTAAGTGCTGATTTTTACAACCAAACAACCTCTGGCTAAGCAGATGCCACAACACAGAGGAACTACCTGGTTAGGCCAGGACGCTGCAGTCTATTTACACCTACAGGCCAGTGGACACTCTTTCAATGGTGAGGATGTATCGTGGACAGGGAGGAAAGCTGGTTTGCGCATGGAGTCAAGGAGGTGATTTACAAACCTGAGCTCACAGCCCATTGTTCATTCAGTGGTTTTAGTTTTAATCATTGTGCAGATGAACTGCTCATAAGGTTGGAAACCTGCAATCAGCTGAGACTGAGAAGTCACATGATGATAATGAAATGTGTCTCCCACTGAAAACATTTCTATAGTTCGTGGACCCCATGGGATTTTCTGGGACTTGGAGATGGCAGTCATAGAAAATAGAGTGGTTGCTGTTGAAACTGCCCCTAGTCATAAAAAAGAGAACTGTGATACACAGCATCAACAGGCTTAAGAGCGCTGGCAGTTAAAGTCTGCACAATTTTTTTGTATACAATATTAAACCCAGAATTTAGTTTCCTCATCAGTTCCGCAACACAAGTAATAAAATCTCAAATTTCATCTAAGAAGATACTGAAGTACTAATAACATCAGTTACTGTCATGTAGTGAGAGCATTTTCCATCCCGGATGTGGTAACACGGATATAGGTAGTGATAACAATGGAAAATCAAAATATCTGAATCACATTAAAACTATCTAATAAATATAATGGTGTGGTCATTCCTGAAGCAGCAAAAAGAAGAAGAACAAAAACTGTATGATTTGAAGGCACATAAAAACTCATTCAAACTCTGCAAGCATTGTCAAAATTTTCAAAATAAATGATGAATGAGTTTTAAAGCATAAAACAGTGTTTGAGTAAACTATATTTTCTCCTTAGTTTGAACTGATTGCCTGGACACAGTGATCTAAAGCAAACATCATAACATTTTAGCCACTCTGAGTGAAAAAAAAAGTCTGATTTTAATGTCTTTTAATGTGTTTGTGTTCAGCCAGATTTCTGGGGTTTGGGAAACTCTGTGTTCAGATGCTCACCTTGTAACTGTGATATTGGCGGAGCTCACAGCAGCACGTATGTTTTCTTTCTGTCTTTATTTTGTGTGTGACATAATAAAAAGTATTGAATAAAGATCAACAGTCAGTTTGATCTGAATCACAGGTTAGTTTGAGAAAGAAGAAAAATTAACAGGAAGCACCAGAAACCAACTGAATACCAGTAAAATAATCAGAAAAAAACAGTTTATTACCTTATAGGTATGGCACGCTGTTGTGAGCTGGAAATTCATCATAAAAGCAGTAATTAGACTCTTAATAACTGACACCATAGAGCCTCCAGTGTGTCACTTCCTGTCTTTTGGGGGGATTTCCTGTCCCGTCAGGTGTTCACCAGAGGATGGACAGTGTCGCTGTTTACCCAACATGATTGGTCGGCGATGCTCTGACCCTGCACCTGGGTACTTCTTGCCTGCACTGAATTATTTCCTCTATGAGGCTGAACTCACTTTCCCACTGCTAGGAGGAAGGTCTTCTACAACTCCTCCTCCATCGCCTTCTTCTTCTGCTGATCCATCATCTTCTTCTCTGGTGTGTAACAGATGACAAGCCACCTGACACAGAGCTTGGAAAGAAAGTGAATGGAGTTCTTTAAGATAGATAGATAGATGCAGCATTTTGTGAGAAAAGTTGCGAGACATGTAAAGAAGGTAACTAAAAGGAGTATTCAACTGACAATTCTATGTCAACTATTGCAGATGATTTTAAATAAATTTTTAATATCTTGTAGATTTTAGTACAACATGGCGGTGCACATAGTCGCAGTTGTTTAAGGGCCCCCAATTAGGTGATCTTCTTTTTCTTTTTGTTTCCTTTTCTTTTTCTTTTGTTTCCCTTATTGTGTAGCCAAATTCACCTTAAGTCATTGGGAATTATACAACATCAGTTATGACAGCCAGAACCCCGTTACCAGTGATTATCAGTGGATCAACAACATCCCAGAGAACTGCCTGCGGTGCTAATAACAGCAGTCTACATACCACCAGACGCTAATGCTAGCACAGCCCTTGCCTACCTGAACGACACGATCTCCGAACAGCTACGGACATATCCAGAGGAAGTACACATCATCGCAGGGGACTTTAACAAAGCATGCTTAAAAACTGTGCTGCCTAAATGTGTACAACATGTGAAATGCCACATGAGAGGGAATAACACCTTGGGCCATGTTTACTCAAATATTAAGCAAGCCTACAGATCTGTTCCCCTCCCCCACCTGAGTATGCCCGACCACCTCTCCCTGCTCGTTGTCACACCACTCAGGAAAAGGACAAAGCCCACCATCAGAAACATTAACACCTTTTCTAAGGAAGCTCTGGCTCAGCTGCAGGACTCTTTTGCCCTCA